AGCACTTGTAGTTTGCAGTTGTGGCTAGCTTTCAGGGCCCTTGTATAGCTGCTAGGTACCTGTAGTCTGCAAGTGTTTGTGTGCTGTTATGCTTCGGCTCGTAGGGGAAGGCTACGAAAGGTAAGCCTCTTGAGCCATGTGTACTGTAACCAACAACTTGTAAAGCTGTACTGGTCGTTTGTTGGTTTGTCGGTTCTCTTGTTGCTTCGTTGAGATCGTGAGTCGCCTCTGCGCCCAGCCATAGAAAACATTCTGCGTGAGCTTCGCTGCAGGGTATGGCCACCCAGGGTGAACACCTTCAACATAAACCCTAAACCCTGAACCCTATTAGAGCCTAAACCCTTAAACCGTGTAGAATTGGAATGTCCTTTGGGCAGGATCCTCTTGTGGATGGCTTGCAAGAAGCCCAGGAGGCTGGATGGAGGTCATGCCCACATGCACACATCCCGTGCACTTGTGTTGCAGGAGACAGAAGAAGTCGCTTTGGAAGAGCCCGTGTTCGCCGGGTGCTTGTGTCTTAGGTTTTCGCTGGGTCGGTATAATGAACATCTTAGGTGCCAGTGCCTCCGAAGCCGAAGAAGCGAGCGCCGACCTCAATTCCACTTCCAGCACATTTAATTGAATCCTTGTCCGGATGCCAAGGCCGTGGATGGAACCACTTTGGCCGTGTTCTTGAGTTGCATGGCTTCCTTCTTCAACGAATGCTCGCCGTGCTGAGGTCAAGGAACCGGAGGGACCACCTCCGAGAAAGTGCCGAAGGTGGCCCGTGGGGACCCCATTGCATGCATGCAAATTGGATTGTTTGCTGCTTCTCCTCGCTGCTGCTGCTGAGGCGGCAGGATCGAGCAGCTCTTGGGAGGTCGGTCTGCTATTGCGGCCGAGTTGTTTCGGTGCTTCTGAGATGTGACAGGGGTTGCCGATGATGGCTTGGGAAGCCAACTGGCAGGCCATGCTCACTTGGGCTCACGAGGGCACATGTGCATGCACACATCTAATATGAAATATATATGTGTGTGTGTGTCTACATCTACATTTACATACATACATACATACATATACATACACATATACATACATGCATACATGCATACATACATATTATACATACATAATAGATAGACATTCTAATATATGCACATATACTTTCTCGATAGTGAACATTCAACATGCAATCCTGCCTGCGAGCTGATAGCCCTGCAGGCGAAGTAGTATATAGTCACATATACAAGGCAGTCTGTGTGTGTAGATATACACATAAATAATAGGGTTTGGTGTTTGGGCTTAGGATTTAGGATTTGTCCTGGTTCCGGTCAGCTGAAAGGTGGCTGTGCCCAATGCTGGCGGGATCCAGCAGTGGGGCAAGGACAGGGCCCCAGCTACTTTGGTTTGAGGTTTTTTTTCCGTTGGTCACCGACTTGGATGCACGAGGGCTCCGGATACAAGGGGCAGCAGATGGTCAAGGCCGGGGAGTTTGTGGTGCCAAGCTCGTCTCGCAGGGCCATTGGCTCGCGAGCAGAGGGAAGCAACCATGAAGCTTGCAGGTGAAGGCACCGTGGGCAGCCACAGGCGCCAAGGCCGCAGGGCACCAGCTCTCCGGGTTCGTCGACTCGGAGGGCACTTGGTGGCCGCCGGGGGCCGGCAGGTGGGGGTTAGTGCACAGCGAACCCGTATTGTTCATGTTGCAGGACCCGCAGCCGGACAAGGGCTGGGCAGCAGGTTCAGATGGCCCGAGCCGCTCCTGCTGCTCTTGCCCTGGCATCGGACAGTGTTGCCACGGTTCGAGAGCAGGCGGGCTTCTGAAATCAGCAGTGGAATGTGGCTCCGAACATAAGTGTTCTGCTCTCCTTCGCGATGCAGCTGAAGCCCAAGTGAGGCAGGCTTTCATGGCTTTGCAAATGATGACATGTGCCCCACCGGAGCCACCACCCACCACATCCCTGGCCCCGACATGCAGCAACACTGTGTAAATGGGACAACCAGCACTTTTATCGATCTATATGGGTGCGGTGGCCGGGGTGACCACGGAAATATCGATCTATAAAGGCGGGGTGGTGGGAATGGCACGGCCAATATCGATCTATAATTCTGGCCTGGCCGGGGTAACCCCCCGGATATCGATCTATAAAAATGTGGCCGCCGAGACCAAACCGGGAATATCGATCTATAAAAAACTGGGTTTCGAGGTTCCGGGCCCTTGTGCCCCCAAACTCAGCAAGCCTGGCTGTACAATGGCCGGGTTGGGCTATCGGGCCGGGCCCCTGGAGTGGGTGTTCCATGACTCAACAACAACATCACGGCTGCCTCGCTTGTGCCTGTGTTCATCTCTAGCCTTCCCGTGTTTCCTTGGACCGGCTTCATTCCAGATTGCAGGTGCCTGGGACATGGATGCCGTCTTCAAGTTTTGCATCCTTATATGCTTGGTTCTCAGACACCAAATCTTGGGCACCATGGGCATTGATGAAGCCTGCATGCTCGTGCAGGTCCTGGCCCTGTGGCTTCTTCCGTGAACTTCCTACTGAGCTCTGCCGGGTTGGAGCCTGGACCGAGACTGTGCTGTGGGCTTCTATATATGCATGTAGACCTGCAATGTAGGTGGCCTGATACTTTAGGGACCTTCAGGCCTCGGCTTGTGGCTGCTGCCAGGAACATGTCATCCTGGCTCTAGCTTCACTATATTTACATAATATCTACATATGCACACACACACATACACTCAAAACCTAAATAAATGGGCACGGTACATGTTCCCTGCTTGTGGCTGCAGCCGAGGCTATGGAAGCACTGGCATTTAAACTAGACACATATACATGTGCCAGCCCGTGTCTTGGTCTGGGTGGGCTCTTCTTGCTGTGGACTAGCCGAAATTGGCCCCGGGTCCAGCCCTGTATACGAGCATGCAGTAGCCGTGTCGCGAGTCCGACTGCAAAAGATTCGGGATGTCTGCCGGCGAGCATGCACTGCCCTGCCCTGGCGATTTCCTTGTGTTGCATGCTGTGCATTGCAGTGAGGGCAGAAGAGACAAACGAGAGAAAACAGCACAGGGCACAGAACTATAAACATTAGCTTGCAAGGTAACCTGCAACTGTGCAGTCGCCTCCCCCTCTCTCTCTCTCTCTCTCTCTCTCTCTCTCTCTCTCTCTCTCTCTCTCTCTCGCTTATCTCTCTCTCTCTCCTTCTCTCTCTCTCACTCTCTCTCTCTCTTACTCTCTCTCCTCCTCCTCTGCTCTCTCTCTCTCTCTCTCCTCTCTCGCTTCTCCCTTCTCTCTCTCTCTCTATCTCTCTTCCTCTTCTCTATCTCTCTGCTCTCGCATCTTCATCTCTATCTCTCTCCTCCTCTTCGCTCTCGCTTCATTCTTACACTCTATATCACTCTTGATTATATCCTTTGTGTTCTTATACATATACTAACACTATAGAGCTATATGTATATGCATATATATATATATATATATATATATATATATATACATACATACAGATACAGACATATATATATATATACATATACATATATATATATATATGTATATACACATACATTGTTATAGTTTATACATATACATATATATACATTGTAGACATAAGCTCTATAATATATGTATACACACATATTATACATATACACATATACATATATACACACACATATATATATATATATATATGTATGTATACATGTACACATGCATATATATATATATATATATATATATATGTATGCACTATAGATGTGAGTTGTATGGTTGCCACAATAAACATATGCTAAATACTGTATATACATGTATATAGGATGAATATATATGTATATATATATAGATAGATATATATATATATATAGATAGATAGATGGATAGATAGATATATGTATGTGTATATATATATACACATATCTACGAGTTGCTTGGTTGCTCGCTTGTTTCATTGTTGCTTCGCTGGTGTGCAAAACAAGCAATGACATTCGGCACACAGCCAACCAAGACACGAAGACACAACAATGACATCGTCGTCAGCCCTTGTTTCCGGATGTGGCATATTTCTCGGTACACGTGGTCACCAGGACTGCATGTGCGGTCCTACATGATGTGCATGTGTGTTCTTGTTGTGCTTCTGTTGCTGTGCTTTCGTGTGTATCTATATACTGCTGCTGTCTTTGTGTGTCGCCATTGCTGTGCACGTCGGTGTCTCGCTGTGCCTGCATGCATGTGGCTGTCTTGTGCACTGTGGGACTGCTTCTGTGTCTCTCTCTGTGAGTGTCATGTGTCTTGGCTTTGTGTTTTCATGTTCTCTTGGTGTCTTGCGATCGAGACGACACAGACAAAGAGACAGAGGCATGCATGACCGTCATGTATTGACACATGTGCCCAAAACAGGAAGTACAGAGACATGCACAACAGACATGCATTCAGATAAACCAAGCAGGCATGGGAGGGATCGAGGCAGGAGGAGGAGGGAAGCAGCCAGAGAGCCATGGATATATAGGAGGTGGGCATGGCTGAGGCAGCTTATATAAGGGGGCGGAGGGGATGGTGACTGGAGAAAAGGACGATGGAAGGAACAGGGAGTTTAGCTTCGGCTGCAAAAGACAAAGGAAACGAAGTGAGGATGCCGGCACACCACACATAAGACATGAGAGCGAACAACTTCAAATCATGTCCGGGTGTATCTAGTCTGTATACGGAACTATCATATATATATATATATATATATATGTATATATGTATATATATATATATATGTATATATATATATATGTATACATATGTATGTATATATATGTATATGTATATATATATATATATATATATACTTTGGAGAAGGAGAAGCAAAAGCCAGAGACAGAAAGAGAGAGAGAGAGAGAGAGAGAGAGAGAGAGAGAGAGAGAGAGAGAGAGGAAGAATCCAACATTTCGCGAACCTGGCCCGCCGATATGTCCAAGCAAGGCTCAAAAGGATTGATTGCAAAGATCGGTTGCAGGGCTTCAAGCTCGCAAACAGATCGACATGTCTGCTGCCACAGCCATGGATCAGTTGAAGGGGGATTTGGCTGCTACAGCCAATTTTCTCCAGTCCATGACTGCACTCCCGAACTACGACAGTGTTAGAGAGGTGCAAGCAAAAGCCCTTTGCCAGCGAGTGAAGAACCTTGCCTCCGTGGATGCAAATGGAGCCTCAGCCCTGCTGGCTGCATGGACTGCAGGAAAGCAATGGACTTCTCCACAAACAAAGGAGTTCAGTGATCTCTTGGCTGGAGCAGTAGCTAGAACCAACACCGGGGCAGGTCAGGGTGGCAAGAGAGCTACTCAGAAAGTTGATGCTTTCGAACCTTACCTGTCCGTCAAAGATATCCAGGCTTTGGAAGCTGGTGACAACATCCACGTGAAGTTGGATGTCTTGGCATGCCGGTGCATCAAGCTGAGGCTCACCTGCCCATCTGAGGCTTGCTGCAAAGCGATCTTGGCAGCTGGCTTGGCCAGGGCAGGCGGTGATGTGGGGGCGGTTGACAGCTATGCCAACAAGCAGTTGTTCAAGAAAATGCTGAAAAGCAAAGCCAAAGGCTTGCCCAAGAATGGCTTTCACCTCGAGCATTATCCAGCATCGCCAGACAATCTGCCCCCTGAGCTCGCCGATGCATACTCTCAAGAGGATCCTGCATGCACTGTGCAGATGCAATCTCCCGACAGGGTGCAGGCAGCATCATCTGCACTCGTGTTGAGAGGGAGCTCGAAGAAGCTTCGTGGTGGAAACATGATGGGTGCCGGTGGCATGCAGAGCTGGCCTGCAAGTGGCAACAACAACCCCATGAACATGCAATTCAACATGGGCCTGCAAGGAATGCAGCCCGGGATGACGATGATGGGTATGATGAACACCATGAACAACATGATGCAGAGGCTCATGCAGGACCAGAATAGGCAGCAGCAGGACCCGATCCCGAACATGCAGTACTTCGCACCCGGTGGAGGTCAAGCGGGGGCAACCACCATGGGCCAGGGGCCTGCAGCAGGAACCCAGGCACCTGCAGCAGCAACCCAGCAGGCACCCGCAGGGGCATCTGCATCGGTCCAGCAAACAGCACTTGTGGCGGCAACGAATGCATCAGCTGGTGTCTCGCCGGCAGTGCAGTTGGAGATGAGTGATCCTGAAAACGACGAGGCCGACGAGGCAGAAGTGTTGAGGCAGGCTGGGCTCGTTGCAGATGCAGTCAACAAGAAGAAGGGGATTATTAAGAAGCCTGCAGGCTTGCCCAAGGCAAAGGCAAAGGGCAAAGCCCATGCCAAAGCAAAGGCAGCCAGTAAGGCCAGTGCCAAGGCCAGTGCCAAGGCCAGTGCAAAGGCCGTTGCAAAGGCCAGTGCAAAGGCCAAAGCCGCCCCGGCCGGTAGCAGAGAATACTATGCCAATCTTTCCATGAAGAAAAGGGTGAGCCTTCGCCCGAATGGTTGCAGCAAATGCAGATTCGCACCAGGCTGCAGGCCCAGCTGCTTCTGTAAGTAATAGCTGCTTGCCCGATTCAAATGACCGGCTCGATGAGTGGGGAACTCGTCGACTGCAGCACAGAGGGAGGAAAAGATCATCATGCAGGCATGCACTTATGCACATCATGTTGCCTCTTCTGCTGCATGTGTGTGTGTCTTGCCAGGCAGCATGTAAACCTGAGTGATCGGATCGGCTTGCAGATTGGTCTGATGCTGCATTGCAAGTATAAATATCTCCTGTATATATATATATATATATATGTATATATATACATATATGTATGTATATTACATACTTACACACACACACATATATATATATATACATATATATTATATATACGTGATATTATATATTGGTAGATATAGTCCAGCCATTATAAGAAATTAGTTGTATTAGATCGTGTGCATACATTGTATCATACGTGCATCCAGAGGTTTTTGTTGTGTTGAAGAAGGTTTCGTGGGGACAAGGATTTATAGACAGGTTGACACATGTTGTATGTACAAACATATTTATTGTAAGAATTGTTACTTCTAATATCCGGTGCCTGCAGGGCATTTTGCTCGCGGGCAGCCATCTTTATAATCTATGTCGCTCGCTACCATCGGCAGAAAGCACTATGTGAGCCAGAGTGCTCTGGAGGCAGTACTGAAGGAAGTGGCTGCATGCCCTGAAGTCCTTGACTCAGCCTCCCGGCGAGGCATCAAAAGGGCACGGGATTCCGAGCTGGATGCAGAGACTCCTCATGGCCCTTTGGTGGCCAAGATTACAGTACCTGTGGAGGTGAAGAGCCGAAAGGCAGCTGGAGACGAGGAGGTGAAGATCGTGCCGACAGAGCTGCCGATCCTCAACCTGATGGCATGGATATGGCATGTTTGCCAGTCCATGCCTGGTGTAGCTGCCTTTTTGCAAAGGCAGCTATCGAAGTACCCGTGCACAGCAACCAGCCCATGGCGAATGGCTTTATACAATGATGAGATTAGTCCTGGCAACCAGCTAAAAGCCAGCAACACCAGGAAGATCCAAGGGTACTACCTCAGTTTTCTCGAGTTTGATGCTGAAGGCCGATGCCAAGAAAACCTTTGGTTTCCTTTGAACTTGACTCGGTCTTCGGTGGTGAACAAGATCCAAGGCGGGCTGTCTGCACTCACCCACATTCTGGTCTCCTCGGAATCGTTCCTGAACCTCCAGTCGGGCTGTTTGCTGAACATGCCAACCGGGAACGGGTCATGTTCTTCGCGAAACTGCATACTGTAGTTGCAGACGAGGCAGCTTTGAAGTCTATGTACGACTTCAAGGGCTCCAGTGGGACTTTGGTTTGCCCGCTATGTGCCAACATAACAAGCAAGACCCACGGTGATCTGCCAGCAAATGACCACTCGGGAGAATTGCATGACATATCATGCATCGACAGCAATCTGTTTGTCCGCAGAACCGACAATCAGATCTTCACTGCACAGGCACTGCTGGCGAGAAGGCAACCCATGCTGAGCAAAAAGGATTTTGCCTTGCTGGAGTCCAGCATGGGGTTGAACTTTAACCCATCTGGAGTGCTTGCTCACAAAAGCATGCCGCTTGTGAAATGCTTGATGTGGGATTGGATGCATTGTTATGTGGTAAGCGGCCTCCTGCACGTGGAATTGAGCTTACTCTTGCCACTCTTGCATGTGCAGGGTGCAACATTTCAGGTGATCCAGAGCTTTATCTCAGAGTACGAATGGCCTCACAACCTGAAGAACCGGAGAAGAGAAATCTTGCATTTGTTCGACAAAAGGAGCAAACCTTCTGAGTTCAAGGCCGGTGCTTCGCAGTGCATCACTGTCTATCCCTTGCTGCGGCTTTTCTTGCTGACTCATCACTTTGACACAATGGACGACGAACTTCGGCGA